CTCTACAAATCTTACTTGAAAACTGGTCTACTCACCCTCAAGTAGTCCTTGGCCAAGGCGATCTCAATGCCGCTGTCCAAACACCTCCATGGCTTCCAAGCTGTTATCAGGCCTTTCATTAAGCTTTCCAAGCTGTGATCCTCCATTTGTGGTTTCTCTGTCACCGGCGTTACCTGTCTTGCTAAAGGAAGCATTGGAAAGCCATGTTGGGATGGGGGAGGCTTCAAGAAGGATCCCTTTCTCTCAACAGCCCCATAAATTTATTTATTTGTTTATTTATTTATTTATTGGCCGCAAAAGTTGAGAGACCCAATCTGGAAACTGAAGCATTTGCATGACCAACAGTGTGCCACTCCACACTTTTATGTGACCAGGTGTATGGAAATTTTGCAAATTTGGCCTTCAGTGACCATGGACAAGAGGACTGCTTTTTTTTTGGCTGTAACTCAGTAGCCATGCTGGTTGGGGATACTGGGAGTTGTACCAAAAAAATAACAACACACTAACTTGTATTACTCTCTGCCCAAAGTAGTAGATCAGTTTAAACATTTCCTGTCCGTTGGAGAGAGACCAGTGTCCTTGTTTCATCTTATAGAAATCTCTGTGTCCTTGCTGATGTTGTTGGACTGCACCTCCCAGCATTCTCCATCATCGCCCATGTCAGCTAAGCTTTCTGGGGAACCACAGTCCAACAACATCTGGAGGATCACACGAAGCTCACTCTTTGTCCTAGGAAGATCTTGTTATTGAGTAATCCTGGATGCAAGGGCATAGATCAGCGGTAGAGCCACACATCTTGAATGGAGCAGATACAGATTTCAGTCCAGTTTTTAAAAAAACCAGGGAGTAGGGAATGGAAAGTCTTTGCTTAATCTGAGAACTTCTTGGACTTCAAGTCCCATCTCCTAGAAGGTCTGGGGCTAATTGGGGGCTTCTGAGACTTGGAGTCCTAAAAGGACCCTTTCTGGTGCTGCATGTTACCTTGGCCAAGCTTGGATTAATTTTTTACTCTTTCTTTCCCACCAAAAAGCCAACATGGACTTGGTATCACCGAACGGATGGGAGCTGTATGCCAAGTCCCTTCCTTGCAACTGGAAACTCACCGCAGACCCTCTCCAACTCCAAGGTGATGCTTTTGGCCGACGGGATTTCTGTGTAAGAAGCCACAAATGCAAACTCTTTGCTCCGGGCCTCTGCAAGCAAGCCTTCTTTGCTCTCGGGCAAGTCTTTGCCTGTCATCACCATATGGACAAATTTCTTCATTGTGTAGTTCTCTGATACCTCCAGGAGGAAAAAGAAGTCAACATTCACGGAGGAGAAAAGGACAATTAAAAAAAAACCCAAAAGCCCCACAAACTTTTAAGCAGATATTCCAACTACTCACATTTAACTACACTAGGGCAAAAAGTAAAACCCAAATGCTTACAGGCTTCTCCTGTTTTCTGTATAATATTGTACCGTTTTATATTGTTTTATGCTGGTCACTGACTGTAATAAATTTCATTTCATTTAATTTCCTCCTGTTTTCTACAAGATTGCCTGACAAAAGTTGTTGTTTAAGTGTTCAACAATCACACAACGGACAAAATCCATGGGTGACGTACACCAGACGCAGTTGCCCCACGCATGAATATTGACCTTTTTGGACAATGTTGAACAGGGATATCCAATGGACGACGGCTGGAGCAGAGTCCTCTCTGCAGATTTCCAGATGCACGACAACCATTGCATCCAGAAAAGCTCATGCTACTAACTTCTTTATTTCAGTTAGTCTCAAAGGTGCTACAAGATCTCTCTATAACCATTGCAGTTGCACAATAACGCAACGGACTACAAAATGCCACAAGGGCATATGCCAGTTGGGTAGCATTTGTCTTAAAGAGACCGACAACCGCTACCACCGTGGAAGAAGCCAGCGATGTTTCTGTCTCTTACCAAGAATTTCATGGAATCAAACATCTGTCCAATGTTCCACATTACACCGGCGGGGCTTTTGAGCACCAAGAGCGTGGGCAGCTGGTTCTCCGGTTCTTCTTCGTTGCAGTTTTGTTCAATGTTCAGATCTACTGTCTGCGGGCTGAAAAAACAAAGCCAAGGATGATGGGTCAGGTCCAGAGCTGAGCAGAGTTAGCAGCACACATATGCCATTCCAACAGATTGGTCTAGTTTTATTATTCTATTCAGATGAATCTCTCCCCAATCAATCAATCAATCAAATCTATGGGTTCATCTAGTTTTTAAGATTTACTGTGAAGACCAGAGTTTGCAACAAGTAGATTTAAAGTTGTTTTTTAAAACCTTTGTTTCTCTTTAATTCATCCATTGATCTACGTCTCCCCAAATTTTTCTATGACTTCTGCCATGTTGTTGT